CCAATGCCTTCAGTGCAGCTTGGACTTTTTCCTTCAGTACCATCAGTTCTTGATAATATGGTACCTGCTGAAATGGCTGAATGTCGACCATTTCTTTTTGGTACAGTGACTCTGTGTATTCCTCTACTTTCTTTTTGATACTTCCTGCATCATTCAACTTTTTGCCCATAGAATCCTTCAGTACTGCAACTCGAGGCTTGAGTTTTTCCTTCAGTTCTTTCAGTTTGAGAAATGCCAAGGGTGTTCTTCCCTTTTGGTTTTCTAACACCATGTCTTTGCACATTTCATTGTATTTTGTCTTCTTGAGCCACTCTTTGAAATCTTCAGTTCTCTTACTTCATCATTTTTTCCTTTCACTTTAGCAACTCTACATTCAAAAGCAAATTTCAGTCTCTTCTGACATCCATTTTGGTCTTTTCTGTCTTTTTAATAATCTTTTGCTTTCTTCTTGTATGATGTCCTTGATGTCATCCCATAACTTGTCTGGCTTCGGTCATTAGTGCTCAATATGTCAAATCTATCCTTAAGACGGTCTCTAAATTCATATGGGATATACTCAAAGTCGTACTTTGGCTCTTAGTTTTTTGGCTCTTACTTAGTGGACTTAGTTTTAATTTTCTTCAGCCTCAACTTGAACTTGCATACAAGCAATTGATAGTCTGTTCCAAAGTTGGCCCCTGGCTTTGTTCTGACTGATGATATTGAGCTTCTCCATTGTGTATTTCCACTGATGTAGTCAATTTGATTCCTGTGTATTCCATCTGGCGAGGTCCACATGTATAGTCACCGTTTATGTTAAGAAAAGGTATTTGCAATTATTAAGTTGTTGGTCTTGCAAAATTCTATCAGCGATCTCCAGTGTCGTTAAGGCCATACTGTCCAACTACAGATCCTTTTTTTTTTTTTTGCAACTTTTGAATTCCAATCACTAGTAACTATCAATGCATCTTGATTGCATGTTTTATCAATTTCAGACTGCAGAAGTTGGTAAAAATCTTCAATTTCTTCATCTTTCATATTAGTGGTTGGTGTATAAATCTGAATAATAGTTGTATTAATTGGTCTCTCTTACAGATGCCATTCCTCCTCAATTTGTCCTTCCCAGAGTAGTAGATCATATGATTGTCTGATTCAAAATGGCCAATACCAGTCTATTTCAGCTCACTAATGCCTAGTATATCGATTTTTATGCGTTCCATTTCATTTTTGATGACTTCCAATTTTCCCTTATTCAAACTCTTTACATTTCACATTCCGATTACTAATGGATATTTGCAGCTGTTTCTTCTCATTTTAAGTCGTGCCACATCAGCAAATGCAGGTCCCAAAAGTTTTATTCTATCCACATCAAGATTGACTCTATTTTGAGGCGGCAGCTCTTCCCCAGTTGTATTTTAAGTGTGTTTCAACCTGAGGGGCTCATCTTCCAGCATTATATCAGATAATATTCTGCTGCTATCCATAAGATTTTCACTGGTCAGTTTTTTTCAGAAGTATATCGCCAGGTCCTTCTTCCTAGTCTGACTTAGTCTGGAAGCTCTGCTGTAATCTGTCCACCATGGGTGACCCTGCTGGTATTTGAAATACCAGCGGCATAGCTTCCAGCATCACAGCAACGCGTAAGCCACCACACTAAGATAAACTGACAGATGAGTCGCGGCAGATTATTCTGCGCAATCTGCCAATTCCAGTGATGATGTTTGCAACTGGCTTCTGCTGTCAATCTGTTCTCTCAGTCTTTATTAAAGACCCAGAGAGAAAATGGTAGAGGACTGAGATGAAAAGGTTAATTTATATATATATTCATATAGTGGACACATTTAAGACATAAATATGAGACGAAAGGGGCATCTTTGCAACAGACTAAATCTTTGGTCTTGGTTAAGTTAGCTCACCTTTCTGACCCTTGATTTTCTCATCTCTAAGACAAATTTCATCTTAGAATCTTTCTGGCTTCCTTTCAGATTCAATGTTCTAGGATTTGGTTCTAATTTAATAGATATACAAACTGAAATGCACACTAGTCATACATTTTGCTGGAGGTTGGTCAGTCCTTAGTAAATCAGGAGCCAAACAGTGCTCCACTTCTTACTCCACATCTATACTTGGGTCAGAAGCATATAGATTGCTGGGCTCAAAAAAGGCCCAAGTGAAATTCTCATTTTTGACTACAGAAATGCCTGTATGTAATTTAATAATTTAAATAGTGTCTGGGTTTAAATCCTTAGAGTAGTGGTTTTCAACTGAGGCTGCAAACTGGTATCGGCTGATGAATTTTATTTTACTGCTGCCTAAGTCCCACATCAAGACTCCTACTTAATTGTTCTGTGGTACAGCTTAGGCATCAGGATTTTTCTAAGCTTTCCAGGAGATTCTAACATGGTAAAAAAAAAAAGACAACTATTGGCATAAAGCAGCGGTTCTCAAATTTTAGCATGAATCAAAGTCATCTGGAGGGGTTATTAAAACACCAGTTGCTGGGCACCACACCCAGAGTTTCCCATTTAGTAGGTCTGGGGTAAAGTCTAGGACCATGCATTTCTAACAAATTCCTGGGTAATTTTTGTCCAAGGACCACACTTTGAGAACCACCTGATGTACTGAGTTTCAATACTGGTTGTTATTACTACCTATATAATCTTAGAAAAGCAATTTATTCTCTCATCTTTAGTCTCTTTATAATAATACTTAGATCTCAAAGTTGTGAGGCATAAATAAACAGTGTACCAATAAGGGTGTAGTAGAGTCCCTGGCATAGAAAGTAATAAAAAATATTAACTTATTTTTTCCATTGTACATGGCTAGATGATTCTATTAATTAATTTAACAGTAAAGAAGTTAAAATGTTGCAGGAGAGGAAACAGAGAAGATTGAAACAATGTCCTATTAGGATTATATGTATAGTACAGAATGATAAATATAATGTTTTAAGTATAGACCTTAAAAATACCTTCATTCAATTTTTAAAACTTTGGACATAATAATTTAGGTGGTATGAATATTAGATATAATCTATAAGGAGCATGAATTTTATTTTAGAACCTATAATGGGTTCTGAAACCTCATCTCTGGTAATAATTTTAGTTTTCCATACAATCAAAAATAAGAATATAATAGAATACTTGCCTAAAAGTTCAATATATTGGTCTTTAAATGCTACTTAATTCCAGAGAAAACCTAAATTATTAAAGTGCATCAGAATTCCTATTATCAACCAAAGCAAAACTTCTACCAAAGATGGGATGGAACAGATGTTCTTTTTATTTACATGTACCAACACAAAAACCTAAATAGCTTTCCTTTCCATTTGCCATTTGCTTCACTTTGGGATTTTGTATGACTTAAGGTCCTCTCAGGTATGAATGTTTAAACGCTGAGGTGAATGTTCGAAGGTGAGTAGATCTACTACAAAAGCCACTGCACATGCCTTGAGATACAGGGCCAGGTTGTGCCTCCAGAGTGGGGTTGGTTGAGGTGACAACTGCGGTACTGTGTTTCTCTTTAGAACCTAGGAATGTAGTCATCTAAGTAAGCCTTAAAGCTATTGAACAGTTTAGGTCTAAAGGCATACTTTATGTAAGGACTGTTTAAAGCAAGTTTCTCCCTATCTCAATGGTTGACCCAGAGGTAAAGTCCTACTGGAAATTTTATTTTTAATAGCCTTCCCTCTCTACTCTAGGCTGATTCCCTCATGTGACAGACTTCTTTTACTGAATTTCCAAAACAAATGTGACAGTTGTCTGTACATCTTTGCTGTTGCACCGTGTTCGGCATGGTACCATGTCTTTTATTACTGTTTTCAACTGTTACTTAACGTCATGATACACTTAACTTCTCAACTATTTATGAATTCTCATAACTAGACTGTGAGCTACTCAAGGGTCCTTAATTTGCCCCTTCTTCCATGGAACTTTTTGAATTGCCCAAATTCTCAGGAACTTTTCTTTTAGTGTTTGCAATATAAATTTGACACCAACTTACATTGCACTGCCTATATGGCTAATTCCATTTTTATATGTATAGTTGTTTTCTTCCTAATAGGAACCAAAAAGCCCTTTAAGATGGAGCCCACATATTTTACTTCTTTGTAAAAAAATGCCTTGACAAAGCAGATGTCCAATTAACATTTATAAAATAATTAAAATCTTTCATACTAAATTTAAATCTTTCATACTAAAAATTGGATACAATTGATTGCCTTAGGGAAAGTCCTCATAATCTTGCTGTTAAGATTACAAAAGGCCTACTGTCTGACTAGTGTACTTGGAGAAAGGAAATGATCTTCCCAAATTCAGAAAATGAGACTTGGTTTAGCCATCCTTAGTGCTTTAAGACCAACCTTAAATACCACATAAATAGGATGGTTCCAAAATTAAAATATACCTGGTATTCCCTAGTATCCTTTCATCCATATCTTCCTCTCCCAGGCTTTCCCCAAGAAAAACTCACCTAACTCCCCTACTGCCCAAAACAAATAAAACCCTCTTTTCCCTCTTCCTTCCCTGTAAAACTGTTTATTAACTAAAAGGCATAACCAGTATTTAGAGTTTTTCAAAAAAGAAACTAGCACTCCAGGCCCTTTCATCATAACCAAAACCAGAAACAGGGCTGATTTCATGCCCATCCTTCCAGGGACAGAGTTCCTTCGATCAGGTTTTGACTGTTACTAGAAATCAAAAAGACTGGTAGACAGCCTAGAGGGTTGAGGGGCCACCCTGGAGGTACTATCTTTTCTTCCTTTTAGAGTTTTTTCCCTGGATGGGTTTGGTGCCATTGCCAAAGCTCTGACCACAATCATTTCAGATAATCGTTTAATAGGACTGTGAGGTACCAAAGCCACTAGGGTAGGCAAGAGATTGGCAAAGTTTATCTTTATAGCTCAAAGTGTTTTGAACAGATTGCCTTGTGCAGAGCTGGATTATGCCAATTTACTTCAACTTCATCATAGATATTGTGGAAAGAAATATTGTTTCTGCAAAAATTTTGATTAGTTCCTTCAGTTTTTTTTTTTTTTTTTTAATGACTCAAATTGGGCATTGTCTTTAAAGGTTCACTCCCATTACATATGCTCTAAAATGTCTCTTCAAACTCTTCAATTAAGATCATCCCTTAGGTAGAAACCTAGAAACCAGAGTAGTTGTCTCATCTCTAACTCTACATAAAGCACCACTATTAAACTATCATATATGTGTATGTATATGTATATATGTATTTTAAAAAAAAAGTAAAAATGTTCCCCTCATTGTTCTTTGTTCAGTATAGGCACCCAGCTGTGGGGTTAGAAAGAAATTAAATAAAGGCCACAAAAACTTGCCAAAGAAGATCACTAAGAAGAAAAATCCTCTCTTCTCAAATCTCATACAGCTAGGCTTTGAGGCATGCCAGCTAAGGAAAAAGATATCACCTATGGTGATAGGAAGACTGGACCTTTCCCTGTTGGGGTGGTAGCTGAACTTCCACTGATGGACCTAGTAATATATATAAAACTCCTCACTTGTTCTAAGCAAGTCTTTTCTTTAGCTTTCCTTCAAATAATACCTTTACTCTCCTGCTAGAATATGAGAGTTGGGAGTGGATTTTGAACAGCAAGGTTCTGGGTTTGTATCAGTCACTTTAAATCATCTGTTGGCTATGCAGAGAGAGGGAAAGATAGCAGGGGAGGAGTGTGAAAGAGAGCAATGTATCTTCATCAGGGGGCGCTGGAGGAAGCAAGCTTATCAAAGTTGTTGCCGATATCTCATGAAGGTCCAGGCTGCGACCACGGTGAGGGCAAATGCTGGCACCAGCACCATGGCTATGGGAATGCCACTTGGTTCCCCTTCACCTTGGTGTCCTACAGGCCCGTTCTGCACCTGTAACTGGAAGTAAAGAAGAACGTTAACTCTAGTGACCAATGCGTGTTTACCACAACTAAAAGGCCCAGATCAATACATCAACTAGGTCTCCAGTCCCTAGACCATCCAAAGCTGTAAACCACAAGCACTAGCTGGCGGAAAGAGTCCTCTCTCTTCTTCCTGACCTAATGGGTCAGTGTCATCAATTCTTTGGGAAAAAAAAACAGGTCTAAGCAGGGAGCATTTAACCTCGCTGTGCTATCGATCTATAGAGACCCCTGAGGGCAAGTCAGATAACCTTTGTTTTTGTACTGCCTTTACCTTGCTATGTATGTGTGTTGTATCAGGAAAATGGAGATCTGAGATGAAGCCTCTGGTTCTACAGGCAACCTGGAAATTACTGGGGGTGCGGGGGTCCATCTTTCTGTAATGTTTACTTGGAAAGATTACTAGTCATCAGAGTACAATAACAGCTATCTGGGCAATATTAACACAGGTGCAATGCCATTACTTAGAAATGCTTTCCAAGTCCCAGAAGGCACCCACTCCTTCCTAAAATGGGGTCTTGTCTTTCATCCTCTAGTTTGTAATACTAGACACAGATGAAGGGGAAACCTATATAGGATAGAGGTAAAAGACTCAGAGGTAAATAAGTAAAAAGAAATCATACCCTAGTGGTTATAATTTTAAATTGTCTACGCATTTCCTTTTGAGGCCAGGTGGTCTTTCTTCATTTCGGTCATTTTTTTCAGGTTGGCCTTTCTTAATATCAACTTTTAATAGCCAATTTGCAACAATTATGGTATCATCTTGTTTCAGTTCTGCAAACCTCCTCATTCTGGGACTACAAAACCCTGACCTCTCAATCTAAACGAGAAGACTGTGCACAAACTACCTTTTTCTATCCTTTATTCTACTTCCACGTCTTTCATTCATTTCCTATGAGATGTCCTCTGACAGGGCATGCTCAGTAGGAAGACAGCGTTTCTAGGTCTTAGGCCAATTCCCTGACCAGAAGAGCCTATTTTACTAGGAGTTATTGATGGATGTTTCCCAAAAAAGTGAGCAGTAGAAATCACTTCCCATCTGCCTTCAAAAAGAACCCTAACCATATCTGAAGTGTATGCCTATATTTACTTGCCTTTATCTACTGCATAAATTCTCCCATGCTTTAGAAACAGGGAAAAGCTAAGGTCGAAGCAGTGATTACCTCTATTGTCTCTCATCACCCAGTTTTTTGATCCATCACACCTAGATTCTGCTTGCAACAGTGGCTGTTGTCTCAGATATCTTTCATGTCTTGCCCTCTTGACTTTTTTACTATCTCGTCTCAAACTCTTTCAGCCTCTGAAGCCTCACTCAGGAGCTGAGCAGAGCACACAGAGCACCAGTTTAAGAGGGAAGGAACACCTCTAAGAAGCACTGAGCCTGTGTTGTAAATGCACTCAGAAATCCTTGGTGCTATGAAAGGAATTATGCCTACCTGTGTTTCCCTGCCCCTCATCCAAATGATAAAACACTAGGAACTGAGAAGCAGATGCAGGGACAGGTGCTGCCTTAACTGAGTTCTACTTCCTTTTTCCTGGAGCTCCCCTTTGAGTACTAGAGCTTTGGTCAAGAGGGTCACCAATTTGATAAGAGAAGGGTTAACATTGGTGATAGAAAATAGCACAGAGTGGGTATAAGAATAGCCAGTATAAGAATAGCCATCATCTTTGCCTTCAAGGTTTTATAGATTGGAAATCTGTCACCTAGGAGTTTTCAAGGGCAGAGATATGCTCCTTCCACACTAAAAAGTAAAAGTGATTCTGTTTTTCCCCCCATCTATTTTAATTTGGTTGTTGAGCTTTATCTTTAAGGCACATTACCTAGAAGCTAGGCCCTGGGCTGCAAGCACATTGTTATGAATTTCCTGTAATGATAAAAGAAGTGCCAGAGGACCTGTGTCTGTGCCAGACAAGCTCTTCGAATGAAGGAAAAAAAAAAAGAACAAAAAAACACTGAACATCACACCCACAGGATTTATTCTCAAGAATGGTTGAAAAGCCTGGTGCCAGGCTCTTGGCTGCAAGTGACACCTACCCTGTGCTGCACTCGCAGAGACACGGCATAGCCTGCATTACGAAAGAGGCCTACAGCATCACGGTGCAGCAGATTCTTTAGGTCTCTACCATTCACCTGTCAAAAACAGCAAGAAAGAGTAGTAAGAGAGGCAGAAGGCAAATTCTCATAAATCAACACTTTACTTTCATGTGAGCAAATCTTACAAATTCCTACAGAGAAGATTTCAAGGGTTAGGACAATGGGCAAAGTTATTTCGAACTCAAAGTAACTTCTTTTCATTTTCAAAGCTATGATTTCCTAGACCTGAGGTTTTATAGCACATTTGCAGAACAACTGGGGGTGGGGTGGGGAGGTATGAAGTGCTCTCTCCTTCCTCTTAGCGTTTGACACTTGAGATTCTGTTACTATATTTGTATGTCATCCATGAGCATCAGCCTGCTTCCCTACAGCTAACATGGCTTTCCAGATTACCACCCAATCCTTTATAGTCCCAATCCTTGGCACCGTCAGCTTCAACTCTAGAAATATAACTCTACGAAAACCAAAACCAAACCAAACCCATTGCCATCGAGTCGATTCCAACTCATAGCGACCCTATAGGGCAGAGTAGAACTGCCCCACAGGGTTTCCAGCGAGAGGCTGTTGGATTCAAACTGCCTACCTTTGGGTTAGCAGCCTGAGCTCTTAACCACTGCGCCACCAGGGCTCTATGAAAGTCTCCTACAATTTGTTCTGGTGTGGTGCAAATCTATACCCACTAGCCCATTCTGTTGGGTTGTGTTATATTGTGATACAAAACACCTAAAAAAAGTTTCAGTGTAGTACAGTAGGTCACTCCTGAAGGGTGTGAGATGTGAAGGAATACTAGTATTAATAATTATTAGGGTTAGGAGTACCAATGGTCACAATTGATATCTATCCTATGCTGCACTCACATAGCATAGCCCACTTTTGCAAGATCTACATATCTTTTATACATCTCAGTGTCATCATCAATAGCAGCAGCAGCAAGAGCATCTAGTATATTTATTTTGATAGGTTCTGTGCTATATGCTTTTCATACATTATTTAATTTAATCCTCATACTAACCCTATAAGGTAGACACTACTTTTATCTTGTTCTCACAGATGAAGAAACTGATGCTTAGTGAGATTAGGTAATTGGTCAAAAGTCATAGTGTGTGCAAGACGTAGGGTTAGGGTTTTTAAATACTGGAAAGAAGATTAAAGTGCCCTTGCATTTAACCATTCCTTTTGCACTATTATTCCTCAGCCTTGACTCACCAACTATCCTGTACTCAGTTGAAGCTCACTGACTTATTCAACCTTCTCATCTTCCTTGTCACAGTCTTCCTCCAAACCAAAAAAAAAAAAAACCCAAACTCATTGCCATCGAGTTGATTCCGACTCGTATCAACCTTATAGGACAGAGCAGAACTACCGCGTAGGGATTCTAAGCCTGTGAATCTATATTGAAGCAGACTGCCACATCTTTCTCCCACAGAATGGCTGGTGGGTTCAAACCACGGAACTTTCAGTTAGCAGCCCAGCGCTTTAACTACTGTGCCACTAGAGAATCTTAGTCTTCCTCCAAGAGGTTCATAACCTTACCTTCACTCTATCTCCTACCAATATCCTGCTGAATTAATCTCCTACCAAGTCTTTGGCCTCATAGACTGTCCACCTCCTCAAATTAATAGTTTCCAATTCCATTTCACTTTAGTCACCAATTGGTATAAACTAATTCAATTCAACATTTAAATGCTTCAGCTCCAGTATCTTACACTCTTAAAAACCTGACTATCATTTCTACTCCCTTCACACTTTCTATTCCTCTACTGAATTTCCTCATCAAAGCCTTAAATCTTTTTAGACTTTACTTGCATCCTTACCAATCTAGGAGTTCCTGTTGTTATTTCAATAAAGCATTTGGTAAATCATTAGAATCCCTTGTCCCCATGATCTTCTGCCATTTTTCCAGTCCTGGGCAATACACTGCATTGACTTTCCTTGTCACCAGTGAGTTGAGTATTCCTGGAGAAAGATACACAGTCACACTCTCCACAACAGATCCATACTAGCTGACTCCAACTACAACCTTACAACCTTTCTACTCATCTCTGGTGAACTCCTTAATGCCCGCAGTAGCTGTTTCAGACGTTTTCCACATCAAACTGCAACCCAATCCCATTTCTCCTCTCAGCAGACTCCTCTGCCTCATGTTTCTTGAGAGTATTGAGGACTTCTCACAAATACTCTCCCATTTTCTTCCTTCCCAACTGAAAGTTTCTTGATAACCTCTCATTGCTCTTTTTCCCTAGTCTCTAAATTAGATATAGCTCCTTTGTGAAGGCTAAACTATTCATCAATGGATTTAATCCTATTTCTTCCAGTCTCCTTACAGAACTCAGTCAGTCACTTTCTCCTCTGGATTCCTTAAGTATTATCTCTCCCTGCTCTACTCAACTAAAATTATCCTCATCTATAAAGAAAACAATACAAATATTTCTTGGAAACCATTATCACCCTATTCCTCTCTCTTCCTTTCATTGCAAAACTTGTTCAAAGAACTGTCTGCATGCACTGCCTCTACTTCACCATCCATTCACTCTTTATTCCCTTGTAATCTCATAATATACGAGGCAGAAGTGAAGAGCATGCTCTCATACAGGTCAGAAGTGACTTCCAATCATCAATCCTATAGTTTTCTCCCTTTTACATCATACCTCCTCCCTTTTGCAATTCTCTCCTCTCTTAGGAACATTTTACCTCTCTTAGTTCTTGAAATACTACTTCCCTGACTCCTCTCCCACTTCCTCCTTTTTAAGTAAGTAAATGCTCCTCAATGTCAGTCCTTCATCCTCTTCCCTTCTCTCCCGTGGCGATCTTCCACAATTTCAACCATAATCTGTAAAAAGACAATTTCCAAATTTTTATCTCTACTCTGACCTCTAGGTTTGCCAGTTCTGTGCCGGATGCCTATACTTGGATATTCTGCTAGACTAGACTTCCAATTCAATACATTCAAATCCTCTTTATTACTTCCCACAAAACCAGAATATACTGACTTCCTTCTTAATGACAGTACTGTTTCCTGAGACTAAAATTTTGACATCATTTCTAAACTCTCTCCACTCCATCAATCTTCACATGTAATAAATTGCCAAATCCCCTAGTATAACATGATATCTCTCATACACTATTTTCTTTCCCATCGTCCCTCTATTTCAGGCTGTGAATATTCTTGGTTGAAATATTATGATTGCCTTCTCTTTGATTTTTACTTTCCTCTAAGGCCTCCCCCATTCTAACCTATTCAAACACTATGTCTCCAGATCAATTTTCCTAAAGTACAATTCTCTTAATACCACTTTACTGTTCAAAAAACAAAAGCAAAACTGGGGAGCATGAGAGGAAGGAGTGTGGGAATTGCATGCCTGATTTCTCAGTCTGGTATGCAACCTATCTTCCCAGTTTAATCTGTCACTAAAAAAACAAAAAACCCGTTGCTGTCGAGTTGATTCCGACTCATAGCAACCATATAGGACAGAGTAGAATTGCTCCATAGGGTTTCCAAGGAGCACTTGGTGGATTCAAACTGCTGACCTTTTGGTTAGCAGCCGAACTCTTAACCACTACATCACCAGGGCTTCCAAAATCTGTCATCACAACCTCATATATCTCATGTTCTAACTAAATCATGTAATTCATTGGCCCTGGGACATAAAATATATATTCTTACCTTCATACTTGTGTGCAAGCTATATATACCACCTGAATGTCCTTATCTTTTAAAATATTCTATTTATCTTCTAAGATTGATCTTAAATATGATCAGTCCTGCTACCTATGGTCTAGAAATGAACATGGGGTTTTCTAGTTGCTGAACTTTAATTTCAGGTTACCAAGGTATCTTCTGATTATGCCTTGGATGTCTTGACAGATCTGCCATAGGGAAAGACCTTCAGGATTTCTAGAACCACTGCAATGAATCCTCAATGATTCCGCTTTCCAGTTAACTCTTGGGGGAGAGAATAGGTGTGAGATTGCTGACTGTAGTTAGAATGCTCACTTAAGTGATCTAGCGCATGTGACAGTTGTATTTCTTTGTAAAGAAATACATATTTTGGTGTCTTAAAAGAAAAGAGCCCTGCTTACTGAGCAGTTAGGCGCTCGGCTGCTAACTGAAAAGTCAGTGGTTCAAATCCACCAGCCACTCTGTGGAAGAAAGATGTGGCAGTCTGCTTCTGTAAAGATGAAAGCCTTAGAAACCCTATGGGGGCAGTTCTACCCTGCCTTATAGGGTCGCTATGAGTCAGACTCAACTCAATGCAACAGGTTTAAAAGAAAACAACAGAGGCAGACAAATAATGATGCAATCATGTCAACAAAAGCAAAATGATGCAACAGCTCAGTATCAAAATCAAGGTTTCATAGTCATTTGAATGCAAGTGGGAGATCTGAGTCATCACATGACATTTAATGACAGGAATACTGAGCTCAAAATAATCTTTGCCATAGTTGTCAGCAACAATATTAATTGCCAGGAATTACTGGACACTTATTATCATACCTCAAGCTGTCTATTCAATTACATGTATTAACTCATTTATTCTTCACAACAGTCCTATAATTTAGGAAGCCCCATTTTAAAGATCATAAAACTGAAGCCGAGATACTATGCAACGTGTTTTTGGCACACAGAATGGAACTAGGAAAGCCAGGATTCAAACTCAAGCAGCCTGGCCTCAAAGACATCACTTTAATATTCACATTGCAAGCAAGGATTTTATTTCAGCAGCATATCACTGTCCATACATTAATGTCATAAATGGAATTTTTATTGGTTTTAAATTTTTGTATCTAATATGTTATACATTTTAAAAATTTTATAGAGTTGTATAAAAGCATGTTGTTATTGTGTGCTGAGTCAGTTCCAACACATAGAAACACTGTATGACGGAATAGAACTACCCCATAGGGTTTCCTAGGATGTAATCTTTACAGGAGCAGATCTCCAGGTTTTTTCTCCCAAGAAACTGCTGGTGGGTTCTAACCTCTGACCTTTCAGTTAGCAGCCGAGTGCTTCTCACCAGGGCTCCTATAAATGCATA